CAATCACCCTAACAAACTTGAGTACAGGCATATATCTTGGAGATAGCACAGGTTTGGTTCCAGACCACTGCAATAAAGAGAGCATTGTAATAAAATGAGTCATACTCTTTTTGCTGGTGGAGGGTCTTGTCTTCAATTGTTTAAAAAAAAAAAGGCAACATCAGTGAAGTGCAATAAAACGAGGTGTGCCTGGACCTACAGTGGGCCAGAAACTAATCTCAGTGATGAGTCTACTTCAGGGTCCTGAGTAAGAAAATGTACTCAGGGCCTTCCGGACCTGGATGGTTCCACGTAACATGGCATCATATGGGTTCTGCCTTTATCATTTGCATGCTCTAGCCTTCAACCGCTGGTTTTACTCCTTTTTTTGTTTTGGGCAGGCAATATGCTGAATCCCCTTTTCTCTGGGGATAGTCTCGTATTTTTCCCCGATGTGAAATGGTAAGCCAAGACCGTTACAAAACTCTAAGCCCTCCCAGGTTATCGTTTCACTGACAAGAAGAGTCTAAATAAAAACTGGTCAATTACGTCAACTTTTATTTAGGCATCATAAGACATTCTCCTCCTATTAAATGAGAACACCAATAGAGCACTGGATACAGGGAAAGCTCTTCCAGTCATCACTAAGCACTTGAAAACTTTAAAAACAGGTCCAGGTGGGGAAGGGAAGACTCAGCAGGCTTTATAAAAGGACCATGATAGGAACAATATCATTTCAATTCAATAGAGCAACCCCAGACTTTCTTTTCTGTCAATTCTCAGAAAACAAAATACTAAGGTTTTTTTTTCTTATAATTTTTCAGTCATCAATTAATACAAACATTTGCCTCCTATCACCAATGATATCTAAAGATAACAGTTTATAGGGATATTGACTTAATTCTAGATAATTCAATTAAGTAATACTGCTTAAATTGCCCCCTTTGAAGGAGATCGGGTCAATGAAAATGATCATTTTGGGCTGGTACCAGACACACAAAAATGGGTCCCACGTTATGACAGTTAAAACCATTTTAACCTTTGTGAAAATATTAAGTTCATGAATTTGAAACTAAAACAATTCTTATATAGTACTTCTTATTAAGTGATCCACTTGAATTAAATATAGAAATAATGTTCACTTCGGGAAATTCAAGGTAAATAACAATTTATAATGAAATCAGCCTTCCCAATTGTTTTAATATTAGAAATAATAAAGACTAATGAGCTCGTATTAAAATATTATATACAAATAATAGTAAATGGTGCAAGACTTTCAAGGTGAAGTTTTATAGCAAAATGTTTCTAATAGAAACATTTAATAAATAATGCGATCAGATTCCAATGGTGTTAGCTTCAGGGAATAAGAGATAATTGATGGAATGAGGATGTTTTCATTGGTAGTTATTTCCTCAAATATTTGAATTTTTCCACAGGCAGTTAAAAATTTGTGGTTAAATATACAAAATAGCACTAAGCATGGGCCATTTATAAGAGCAAGTAAGAAGACATCAAATGTGAATTCTGAAGTTACAGTATCACCTCCAGGCTCGTGTAGAATATGCATCTCTTTTCAACTGTTCAATTAAAAAAAAAAAAAGAAATCAAGGAAAGTGTTAGAACTACAGACCAAAAACCAAAGTGCAAGGAGTCATTCCACATTAGTCTTACTCTAGAAACAATGGTCACTGCCTGCTTACTGAAGTCAGAGTTTTCCTTTTCCCTGTATATATCAAAATAGCCATCTACTTTAAGATAAAACATTTCTACCCAAATGTGGTTTAATTCTTTTTAACTGTCAAAATCACCACCATAGTTAGGCTTTGGGAAACAAGAGAGGGTGGAACCATTATCAACAGCTAAGAGCTGTGGTTCGAAGAATTACAATTTATATTCCTATGATTGCAGTTTTTGCTTGGGAAAAAAAAAAAGAGTATATTTATGCATTTCCTGCTCTTGACTCAAAAGGATCCTGAAAAATGTAAAAACACTGAAATGAAACAGCCACTGAAATGTCAATAGTCTTAACCTTACCTGGTGTGAAACAGATAGATGTGCAGGTATACATCAACCTCTTAAGTACACTGACATTTTGCTTATTGGATTGTATTGCACAGACCATGAAGCTTCATGGTATCTGCTGGTACCTAGTCTTCTACTGAGAAGGGAAGCCGGATGTCTTTAGTGAACAATCAGCCCATATTCTAGAGATGGAGGGATGGCCCAGAGATAGATGTATGAGCAAGGAGCAGCCCAGCAGGGACAGCCCAAACATGATGGTGTTTAACCAGTCTAACCTGACTCTCCTTCCTTGAAGAGGTCTTTTCGATACCTGGCAGCACATTTCCTCTACGCATTAAGCATTACAGTAAGAAGGGGAAGCTGTAGCAGGTCTTCTCTACAAAAACAGAGGAGGAACTCCTGAGACGGGCGACTCTGTTGCAGCATGGCCAGATGTGGTCTCATTGGACCAGATTAAAAAAAAAAAACTCTGAAACTTGGCATAAAGCTAACGATTATTTCTGTTACTGTCCACCCAGGCCATTTGATGGAACTTCTTTTCAACTGGCAAGGAGAATAAAATTACTTTGTGGTCTGAACTCAGGGATCTCTTGGCTCTCTAGCTCTCTGCCATCATCTCAGCTGCAGGAGCCCTGGTCTATCGCACCTTCCCAAAGGTAGTCACGTGCTGGTCTCCTATACTGATGCTCATAATACTGATCAGTTCTGGAGAACAGGTCAGCTTGCTGCCCCAAGCATCTCCTCCGTATTACAGATGGCACATATCCTGTCTTCCAGTGTCCTCTTTTTATACTTTTACTGAGTAAACCAAAAAGCTGCCAGTTGCAAGTAAAGCTTAGAGCAGGAGGAAGCCTTCTAAGTGGGACAGGCTAGAGCAGTAAGGCTCAGCTCCTCAGGCTACGCTGCGAGCTGGGGCATCAGATGCTGACCAGCATGCACAGAGCTTGAGGCATATCCCAATATGATCGCAGAGCATGCCTCTGGGATTCTGGAGCAGGGACCATTTTCTCAGTAAATAGCTCCTGGCTGGTTACTACGTTCTAACAGACAGCAAATGTCTGACACCATGGGACTCCCGGTAACTATAGCATTAATCCCGTTTGAAGTTCTTCTACCTGGTCTACCAAACCATAAACAGCATGCCTTTCACCAATAATCTGGTATGTAAACATAAGACTGGGCTTATGGAGGTCCCGAAGGCACACAATACTCAAACAGGCTAATCACAACCCTCACCCAGTAGGCTTTCTCCCTCCACCAGAGTTATGTCTTCATGGAGGCAGTCCCTGCCAATCAGCTGATAACTCTGAGAGACCTGAGCTTGGTTCATTCGTGACAGTACCAGCCCAAAGGGGACTGCTAGAGCATTACAGTCCCTTCAGGGATGGTACTGAAGGATAACACAGAAGAAACATATCCTGATTTGGCAAAACTTCAAGCACTTCCTTTTGTTGTCCACTAGACCTTGCAAGGAGGGAAAGTCTACGGTGAGTTTTTATCAATTCCTGGACAGTGGCTAATGCTTTACCCAGATGGGCCGTAGACTTGAAATAAGCCAGAATGGAAGGTTGCTGACAGGCGAGTTGAGGAAGGATAAAATACACGGCCCTCCAGAAAGGACACACATCTCTGTCCCACAGGAATTCCTACCAGAGTGTCCACGACTGAAGCAAAATCTCTTAACAGTCATGCACGGGATCACATGTGTGTCTTCCCTCCCGATCTGATGCTCTCCATGGGCTTAGGACTGACCACAGTGGCAATGACTGGCTTGCATAAGCCAGCGCCCACAGAAGCAAATGAGCTCCCTCTCCCTAAGGCCAACGTGGGCATCTACTACTGGCCAGCACCCACTTTGTCAGCACCACCGACCAATCCTAAGCTTTGCTTTGTCACCATACCCTGAGCGAACCAGTTAGTTACCTATACCAGGCTAACTACCCTGGGGTTCTTCCATTATTGAAGGCACAATGCCCTGCCCTCACTGGAATTAATACATATTCTGGATCTGGGGTGGGCCTGTATTGTCTTCTGCACTCTTGATACCACTACCCTCTGTGTTTTTATAAATGCCTTGCACATCACCACTGCAGTGTTACACATGGTGCCTCCAAGGACCCACTTCCCAGAGAAAGAGGTATGAGACAAGTGTCCCCATGTCAACAGGATGCTCTGGGCCCATCAGGCATCTATCATCAAACAGAAAGGGGCCTGCAAAATAATGAAAGAGACCCTTAGGTGCTTAGATTCAATACCAATTACCAACTTGCACGGTTGGGGTGCTAACTTTTAGGACTGTGGTATTTGCTCTACCCCAGCAATACAGGTGGTATCAGCAGAATATGGTATCTCCCCCACAGCCAAAAAACACAGGTCTGAGAAACGAGGGGTAGAAATGTGTTAAGGTTATCATTAATAACCTATTTAAAAGTTGTGTTCCTAGACCTAGGACTCAGGCTCTGCTGGTGCAACTGGCATAACATGTGCTAGAAAACACATTAAAATCGGTGATCATTTCTAGGTGGTTGGATTAAAGGTAATTTCGTTTTTTTCTTTGTGATTTTCTAGGTTTCCCAAATTTTCTAGAATATTATTTTACATTAAAATATAATTACTAAACTGAAAAAAAAAAGAAATAAAACATGTAGCTCTAGAAGCAGATTTTCACTGAAAATGGCACAGAAGGAAAGCAAGGAGTCGGAATGAATGCAAGTTGTGAACAAAACGAGGTAAGATAGGAGAGCCAGTTTTCCATTGTCTTTGATAATGGTTACTATGTAGTACTCCAGACCCATTCTGGAAACATCTTTAGTCTGGCTAAGCCTTAATTTCCTATTTGTAAAATTAAGATGGTAACTATGTATCTCCTAAGGTAAGTGACAGAGCACCATAAACTGTAGCATCTCTACAGGCATGAGTTATTTATTACTACTGGTGGAAGGTGAGTGTCTGTGCGCTCAAAGCTTTCAAAAACAAAAATGAGAGTGAAAGTTCGTTACCTTTGGATTAAAATATCTACAAGACTGTGGTTGGGAGCCTCCGAATAGGGCTATGCGGTAGTCATGCTTCTTTCTCCTGGGCCTTGTGCCTTCGACCAGTTCTTCTCGATCTTCTGGGGACAGGAGATGATACCTCATTCCACCTATAGAAAAAAGCATGGTGACTCTTCAAGAACTTCAGGCACTTTAGTGCTTTGGGGGGGAAAAAAACAAAAAACACACTAACACAAAAAACAAACAAAAAAGAACTACAACCAGACATCATAGTGCTTTTATTTCTGTAACTGTTTTCCTACCATCTCTCCACATCATACAAGGAAAGAGTGAGGGGTAAGAGGCAGGAGAAATGTGTAAGGATCTGAGTCCTAACCAATCTATTATTCTCAGCAATCACCATGATGATCGCCCCTCCCACTTACTACACATACCAGTGAATTATCTGGTGCTTTAAGCAACAGCTGCCAACATAATTACTGAAATGCAGATCTCCTAACCCAGTGGGTCTCAATCTTAAGTGTACATTAGAATCACTTAGGAAATCTCTTAAACTATCTACGCCTGGGACCTACCACAGACCAATTAAATCACAGTCTCGGGTGGTAGGGCCAGGCACTGGTATCCCCACTTAAAATGTGGTTCAGAGACCAGCAGCTTCAGCATCGGGGAGCTTGTTAGAAGTACTGAATTCCAGAATCTACCAGAAACCTACTGAATCTGCATGTTTAACACAATCTCAATGTAATTCATGTGCACATAAAAAACTTTCAGAAGCACAGTCTTAGATGATTCTAAAATGCAGTGAGGATTCAGAACTATTGTGATCTAATATGATCCTTTAGCAATTCCTTGATTTTTTTCAAGGGCCACTTAACGATTAGAAACTTTTAAGGTGTCATTTCAAGTTAGTGTGGGAAAGGTATATTGTTCAATAAATGATGGCAGACAATGATATGGAGAAAAAAATTGTACCCCTACTTCATATTCCATACTAAATTCCAAGTTAATAGAATATTTGAATATGCAAAAAAAATCTCATAAACATACTAAAAGAAATATAGAATAGCTTAAAAAAAACAGGCCTAGAATGGGGAAGCCTAAGACAAAAAACACGGAAGCCATGAAAAAAAAAAGATTCCGACTTAACCGCATAAAATTTTAAGTTACATTACAATATGGCAAAAAACAACAACAAAGACAATGACAAGCTAGAAAAATATTTATAAATCATATAAAAGACAAATATAAAAGATACCTATTAATTCATAAGATTAAGACCAGCAACTAACAAAAAATTAGGTTAAGTATCTGAACAGTTCACAGAGAAAGAACTAACCACAAACAACAGCTCTTAAACATATAAAAAGATGCTCAAGTACTCAAGTGAGAGAAATACAAACTCAAACCATAGTTTTTCACTTATCAGGTTGGCCCACGTGGAACTATCTGGAACACAGAGTATGATAAAGCACATCCTACACTGATGGTGGGGATATGGGTGGGTACATACTCTCTGGAGGGCAATGCATGTGACCCACGAAAATTACAAATGTGCACACCCTTTAGCCAGTAATTCCCCGTTTAGGAGTTTATCAACCTAAAGTTCAACTGTCAGGAAAATGGTTATAAACTACGGTATACCCATATAGTGGAGTATTATATGCGGCTGTTCAGAAGAACGAGGAAGGGCAAATATGAACACCTAGAATGATCTCAAGAAATAATGTGGAATGCAAAAGAGCAAAATCTAAGAGTACACATTGTGATATTGCTTATACATTTAAAATGTCTGTTTTTATGCATATGTACACATATTTATATATGTGATTCACATAAGCATATGTACAAGTACGTCTGTATATGCACAGACTAAAGACTACCTCTGGAAGGATATACGCGATAATAACGGTACCCTCCAGAATAAGGAGAGGAGAGGGAAGGGAACAAGGCTATCAGGCAGACTTACTTTTCACTATATACCTTTTGATACCTTCTTATACCTTCACTTTATGCCTTTTGAATGGTACATGATGTGCAGTATTACTGGGCCAAAAGTAAACAATTCGCAGCACAAGCAAAACATTTCTGTTCCTGAGGTTGTGTTGGGCCTTTATAAGAGGGAGAGCACAGGTTAAAGAAGAGCTTGTGCGTGGATGAAAATCAGTGTTAATGTTCAGCATTTCCTTGCATTTCCGAGTTTGAGTAGAAGCACTGGGCATGAGAACAGCTACAGCCTCAGCGCCAAGGCTCTGGAGCATGTTCTAGGTCGGCACTCCGCTGACTTCTGTAAAGGGCCAGACAGTACATATCCTAGGCTTTGATTTCTATCTGGCTACACTGATGACCCTACAGTGCGGCCCAAGAACTGAGAAGCCCACTCACATATACAGCCTGATCCTATAATTTTTATAATGACTCACTCTTATAAATATGATTCACAGATGAAACCAAACATTTAAGAAAAGCTTTCAGGAACAGAACCAGAAAAAAAATTCCAAAGGTAATACAGAAAATACAGACAAGAAAACATCAAACACATTATACACATAATGCTACTTTAGAATAAGATATTACAGACATGAAATGAGAAATTAGCGAATAAGTAAACAGTTCACAGAAATTAAAAATAATAGCTGAAATAAGTGTTGAAAGAAAAATTAAGGCTATTTCCCAGAAGATAGAACAAAGAGGCAAAGATGGATAACAAGAAAGACAAGAAAAGATTAGAGATTCAATCACTGAATAATTATACTACCAAAAATAGAGAACTGAGAAACCTATGGCTGAAAACATAGAGAATACCCAACATGATAACTTTAATAAAAGAAATGAACACCAAGGTACATTACCGTGAAATTTCACATCAAGGATAAAAAACAAGAAAAGATTTTAAATGTTTACTAAGAGGAATAAAAAAATAAAAGGATCACATTGGCATCAGATTTCTCAAAAGTAACAGTGGATGCTAGTAATAATGGACCAGTGCCTTCAAAATTCTAAGTGAACGTGATTTTCAACATAATTTTATACCCAGTTTAACTATCAATGTCATGGTAAAATAAAGACATGAGATTTGTCAAGTTTCCACATGTTTACTGATCATATATATACTTTTTCTCGGGAAACTTTGGGGATACATTCCATCAAATAAAGAGAATTAGAAAGGGAAGGCCTACTGTCCAGGCAGGCAGTGTATCTCACACAGCAGAGGATGAAAGGACATCCCAGGATGGCAGGGAAGGAAAGCCCCATGACAAAAACTGTGCCTTAGGCCTGGCGAGCCAACAGTCTATCGAAACAGGCTGTGTGAAGGGTATTTCCAAGAAATAAAAGTAACAGATTGTTTAAGTGTATTTCATTAATTGGCATTTTACACATGGGTTGGGACTTAGCCTGCAAGTTGATAAAAACTAAGTAAATGAAAAAATGTGGCAATTATCAGCTCTAGCCATGCTCCATCCCCATCCCCCCCCCAAAAAAAAAGCTATTTAAGAAAGAAACTGTGATCGCAACACACTGGTTTGGCTAAATAAAATAAACACTAGAAACAAAGTGCATGAAAGCTATCATACTATCATACACAAAAGGAGACAAAGCATAAGTAAATTTTTTTTTTTAAACCTTCTATCACACATGTTCCTATAATATAAGGGCTGGGCTAAGTCTCCTCCAGGCAGACAGCATAGAACCCCAATAGATTAATGATCTGAAAGAGCAAAGTCTTGAATGTTTCTCCCTGGCTACTGAGTTTGATCCATTCTAAATTAGGGTTTTGAGCCCATGAGAAACTGGCTACATGTTCTAGTTATAAACGGGTATTAAGGCAACTTACTTATCACCATCTTAAGGCATTCAGGATTGTCTTGAATAAGTGGTTCAGCTTGTACCGTTTTACTTAAGAAATTCTTTGATATAAGAGGAAACCTGACTTTAGCGAGGATATCAACCATAAATGGCTGGCGATTAGGTTCATCGTATTTCAACCACCTGACTGCAGCATCATACACCTAGTGGGGAGAAACAACAATAGTAAAGTTCTTAGACGGCAGGAACATTTCCAATTACTTACATTCACTCTCACATTAAACGGGGAAACTCTCATAACCATTTATTCCTAATATTTTATTGAGATACTTGCTTTCATCCCCAAACACTAGCCTGTAACTTCAGGACAGTTTACACACTGCTCTAGTAATTCTTGTAGGTAATACGTTTTTTTAGAACAAATTACTACTACATTAACTTAATGAAAAGGGAGGATGTTGAATTTATGATTTTTTAAAACAAATTCTCACTTCATTTTTGGAAGCAGATATGATGTACATTTCTACTGAAAAAAATCAGTTGGTCGATGATAGTTTCAATATAATGTTCTTTGGTAACAGGAAAACAGATGAATTTCCTAAGAGGCCTTCCATCCCCAAAGATATGAAGGTCACCTATTATTTAATTCAATCTAATATTCCTGAATTGTGAATTGATAGACTTATCCACTTTCCAGAAACTTTATAATATACAAATTCTACATGTAAAAAATAAGTTACAAAATATTTATATAAGAATTGTTTTCCAAAACAATACTGGAACATTCATTTAACTGTACCAAACAAGTCTAAGTTATTAACATAATTTGATTAGCAAACCACTAGTTTAAACACACTGAAAACAAACATATTATTACATATACATATACCACACAGACGTCTGAGCTAGTTAAATTAGTTAATTTTGGGTTGGTGTTAATAAGGCCTAAATTCTGATCTCCCTGAGTTAGTTAATACTTTATGGGAATTAGTCTATTTTTTTTAAATAAACTTTTTCTTTTGGATTAGTTTAGATTTACAGAAACATTGCAAAGTTAATGCAGAGTTCCTAAATACCCTGCACCCAGTTAAAAATGTTACATTAGTATGATACTCTTGTCACAACTAATGAACCAATATTAATACATTTAACTAAAGTCTATACTTTTAAACAATTCCTTTAGTTTTTATCCAATGTTCTTTTTTCTGTCCCAATCCCATCAAGGATACCACATTACATTTACTGATGTCACCTTAGCCTCTTCTATCTAGACCAGGGGTCGGCAAACTGTGGCTCTTTGGATACAGCTCATAAGCTGTAGTTTGCCGACCCCTGATCTAGACTAAGACAGTTTCTCAGACTGTGAGAAGGGAATTTAGTCACCTGATCCTCTGCTCTCACAGTCAGAGTGTCCTGGTTGAGGAGATGTGTAACTCGCTTGACATCAAGTTGTAGAAACTCATCGGTTTTGTAAACTTCAGTAAAATGCTGATGAATAAAGTCATCTGCAGTTGCTTTCAATTCGGGACAGTCCAAACACTCTGCAAGCACACTTATACCTAAACACAGAAAGAAAATGAATAGAAAGTCACTTCCAAAAAAACCAAACACACACTGAAGATCAAGTATGACCCCAGGAGAATGAGCCTGCGTGAATTTCATTACTCTGGATTCTCTTCTGTTCCACTGATTTGTCTAGTCTTCCAGCTGACTGTTCTGCAACCTGGAGGAGCTCTACTTAGGAACATGACGTGCGAGGTGTGATCAAACAATACAGTGAATGTTTAAATAAAAAAATTTTATTCACCTGCATGGCTATTTCCCCTCCCCTCCTGCTCCATCTGGTCCAGTTAAAGGAAACTGTTTCCTTCAGTTTTGCACGTATCATCTTTGCCTAACGCCATCAACTGCCATGGGACCTTTCGCACTCATGGAAGTCAGACTATTGGGCAGCAGAGAAATGCCAAGTGATGAAAAATAAAACAGGAGTTCTCCAATCAGCTCCCAGGGAGAGCCATGTTCAGGGCTAAAAAGGAAGCGGGCTGCAGCAGTTCCCTGGGGGACCTAGTAGCTGCACTTGGCTCAGCTGCCTGGGCCACTGCCTTTGCCCCAGGCTTAGCCAGAGAATCAGGCTCGCTTTTTGGCTGCTAGGCTGTCTTTCTCCCAGCTTTGTCATCAGTGATGACAGAAGGCATCCGGAGGTAAAACTCCTAAATGGCCTCAGAAGACCACAGCCTAAGAGGTGGCTAGCATGAACTTGCTCCAGGTTCCTCACTATCCTTTCTACTGCCACTTCCACTCCCTTCTTTAGCTGCTTTTCTTTCTAATCGAATCACCCCGAGGAAATTTAGAGTGCTAGTGAGTTAAGCCATCATCTTGCAAAACTTCTTAAAATCTTTTTATATAATGAATTTTGTCTTACTTATATAAAGGGAAATAAACTTAAATCTCAGGAATATAAATCTTATTGATGAACAGAGCCTCAAACTATGGCCCAGAAAAATGAGGGACTCATCCCAGTGTCTCTATTGCACAGATGGGATTAGAGGCTGGTCTTTTATTTCCTAATAGGGGATCTTTTCATTATGTAGACTGATGGCTTTTTTTCCCCCCTTAATTCCATCAGTTTACTCACCTGCATAGCTATTTCCCCTCCTGCTCCATCTGGTCCAGCTCCTTTTCTGGATACCAGACACAATCTCATTCCCAACTCCTTTGCCTGGCTTTTATCCCTCCCTAAGTGTTCTAGTATACAATAGTCATTAGCTTATTGACAAGGTGGAGAGCAGCACAGTGTAGTAGTTACAAATAAGATTATTTGAATACCAGCCCCAGCTACTCCACATACTGGAATAGCTTTGTGACCTCAGCGAGTCACATAACCTCAGTTTCCGTATCTGTGACAGACCGCAGTAACTACAAGTGCTTCAACAAAGGTAAACATTCATGCTTATGTTATCATATATCGCACCGCCACCACAGGCAATCCTTACTCCCGTCCTAGATAAACAAAAACTCATTATTAAAGCTATTTTTTGTTTTTTAAAATATTGATACAGCATTTAATGAGCTTGTTGCTGCCCAGACTAATACGCACCTTCCTAAGCTCTTCTTATAACGTATTACCAGAAAAACTTTTAGTGGATAATGTCTTCAAGGTTAAGTGAGGATACTTATAACCATGCTTTTTTTCCTTATTAAACTATACATTAAATGTTTTTTTTAATATAAATATGATTTCTTACCAAGACAATTTGAAGCATCAACTTGTTCTTTCAAAAAATCAACACACATTTTTTTCACGGGTTCGATCTGGTACTGGTTTGCTGCATCTAATAAAGACTGAACGTTGTTGCTATTCACAGAAATTCTGCAAATAAATTAAAGGGAATATGAATTTGCTATAATTTTTTAAATTATTTAAATAATGTTACTGTAGAATGTATCCTGCAGCCCCTGAAACTAAGCAAAAAAATTAAACTTCTCAGTCCCTGAATTAGTGTGGCACAGGATCCTCCACCCTCCCTCTGCCCCCACCCCTGCAGTTTTTCATTCTGAAGAATCTGGAACGTATCAGTTTGTTACAATGCTTTGCCATGGTAGATTCCAACCTTGCTCCTCCACGGAAACAACCCTCCCTAACTTACCTAGCCGTGTAAGCAAATTCCACAAGCTGTTCAATGATGTCAGGCTCAGCATCTTTGAGTTCTACTTCAAAGGACTTTGATTCAAGCATGTTCGCTAAAACGAAGGGAAGAAGCACAAATGGCATGAGTACTACCACCGAGGAACCAGGTATTCCCAGGCCATGTTAAATGTGGAGAAGAATAATAGGACAGCGGTCTCTCCGGAAGAAAATACCCCAGAAAGCTCAACATTCCTATAATAAAAGCAAATTAATTCTCCACACTTGAGATGCACCTTAAACTAATGTAAGAAATTAGTGAATTAGTGTACTTCTCTTAAAAAAGCCCAAGTGAACAGAGAACCATAAAACTAGATTTCGTATTTTCCCAACTCCTAAAATAATTCAGTAGCACTCCTTTAAATTGTGCTGAGCCAAATGCCTCTGATGTAGCTAGAAGAAACCTATGAGAACAATGACGGTATATAAATAGTCGGCTCCAGCTAGCAAAGCTCTCATCCTCCCCCAGAACCCTGGAAGGGAGCCAGAGCACCAAAGAGAAAACCCGAGGCAGACGCATTATATAACCTGATCAAGCTCATAAAACAGTACCAAGTAGAGGAACTAGGACTCGGACCCAGTTCTCAATGCCAGGTCTAGGGTTCTTTCTAGTTTGATATGCTATATTCATTTCTCCTTTTTATTTACTTTAACTTGCTAGATAAAGTATCATATAAGATTTATCTGATTCATTGCCTTTCAACCTGAGGTTGATAAGAAAACCCCAGGCATTCAAATAGAAGCCAGTGAATCTCCATCAATAAAGACCTCGGGCCTTTAGGGCTAATGAAAAGGCATGTTTCCTTTGATTAATTATAACAATGGCCATTTTCAATCTCTTCACTGTTCTCTGGGCTTAACACCTTAAGTCCTTTAACAATTAGGAAAAAATGGCAGATTTTCATTTAGAACCACCTCATTCTCATAGAATGGATAATATGTTTGACCTTAAGATACTTACTTGTGAACATTAAGTTAAAAAAATGACTGGCTGCGGCAAGAACAACACGGTGAGCAGGTATTTTTCTTTCCTGGACCATAAGGATGACATCACACAGCGTTTTCTAATCGAGAGAGAAGACATAAAATTAAAAGGGGGTCATTGGGCCTGGCCTAGCAAACATATAAACCACACGCCTGTCAAATGCTTCATCTCTATTTTCAATTTAAATCCAGTCTTTTTCCCAGCACAGAATTTGTTTATAATACAAGGCCTGTTTAGGAAGGACTTACAGAGTTGCCGTCATGAGTTAGTTGTATCGAAATCTGGCACTAAGCTTCCCAACAGTCAGGAAAACCTTTATAATCAGCAAAGAAGTAGTCCACTAACACTTTAGGGAAGCCTTTTTTTTTTTTTTTTTTCTGACGCAAATGCTATGGTATTTCTCATGGTGAGATTTTTATGGGGACATTAAGCAACATAAGGGCAATGTGCTTGATGGTTTTTCTAACACAACAATGTTTCTTTTTTAATTGTCTATCTTGATAAAATTCAGAGTGCTCCTTGCATTTCCCAAGAAAGTAGCCTTCATAGATCTAACTTGAAACAGAAACAACCCAGAACACACATATGAACCCAATGTCCACTCAGCACTTTCCTTAAATAATACTTCTCTCAAACGCACTTCTGACAGGAGCTGGACAGCAGCCACCATTAAATTTAAATTGTGATGTCTGACAAGGCCAAAATTGTGTTGCTCTAGATCTGAAAGAAGGCAGATCTAGATTAAATATTTAAAATGTTGGAAAAATGGAATATTAAAGGAACAAATGTAAGGTTTACTGGAACCCTTAAGAGATGATTTTCAAGTTAAAAATGAGCTTTTTGTCATATAAAATTTCAATTTCTTAATGAAGTTAAAGATATAATGTACAGATAAGGCTCAGAGAAAATTTAGAGCCTATATGTTAAGCACTCTTTTAGGTACTGGGAATATGAGGAAAATAATATTTTCATAGTAAAAAAAAAATATTACTTACAAATCTAAATAATGGCTTAGTAGCTCAGAGGACATGGCATTTTGCAAATTTTAAGTATTTTGGTGAAACTACTAATATAGTTTCTGATAGATAAGTCATCACTATTTCCTACTTTATTATTCCACTAATAAAAATTCAAGTAAGATGGTAATAGTTAGCATTAGAAAGGAAATGGGCCCCAAATAATCGACTAAAGAAGAACAAAATTTCACTTTTACAGCTTATTTGAAGATTTTTAAAATAAGGTCTATATATTATTGCCTAGAAATTATATGCAGATTACTTATAGGTAAAGCTATTGTTATCCCAATAGTACCTTGAATTTTAAAAATTTTACTTCCTTTTATTTGGGGAGGGGGTTCAGAGTAAGCATAACTCTCAGGTGATCTTGCCAGATACCACACCAAAAACCACCAGGTAGCAAAACTAAGCCAACTATTTGGGTACCACCCAAAACAAGCTGATCAAGTTGCTTAAGAGAAAGGAAGAGAAAAAGAAAGAGAGAAGGAAGGAAGGAAAAGAGGGAGGAAAAGAAAAAGAATACGGACAGAATACCAAGCAAATCAGATAAGGGATCTATGGCTGCTGATGGGACGTTCCAGAAAATGTAGAGCTAAGCTGAAATGTAGCAAAAACCCTTTCCAAGGCATATTCAGCAGCAGGGGGGTTTAGTGGGGTGAATTTAGAGGCACAATACAAAAAATGGAGATCTCCGCACCGCAATTTAGTATTGGCCTAAGAGTAATCTCCAGCGGGACATTAATGTGTGTGTTTTGGGGGTGGGGGTGGGGGATGGAATGGGAGAAATCTTTCCTATCCAAATGGTACATTTATTTGACTGTACTACAATAGATCAATAGGTTTCAACCAGAGATGGGAGTGACCTAAAGAGAGAGGTCCTGGGGAAGAGATGTATCCACAGGTGGGAAGAGGCAGAGACCAGGTATTATGAGGTAACGAGTCCTAGGTGGATCGAAGAGAAACTGAAAATAAACAAAAAAACTACCTTTTGAACAATACATGCTGACTGGATAAAACAAGAAAAATAACCCTTGCAATTTCTCTCTTTGTGTCCCCCTCTATACCTTTGTATTTGTTATTTTCAGCTTTTGAATCTTTTGTCTCTTATAAACAGCAGAGATATTTGTGTGACTGAGTCTGCAGTTCTCACCATCTAAGGTTATTTTTCGTAGGGTTTAGTTTAATCCTTCGTATTTATTACTGATACCTTATGTTTCATCTTCCATCTGCCATCTTCTTTTATGCTATTTATTATGCTTCCTTATCTTCTTTTTTCTTTAACTGCCACTTGCTATTTTGGTCATCTTTACTATGCATTTTTGTCTTCCTTTGTAACTTACTTACAGGTCTATCAAATATTTGCAAACTGAATTGAACTGGGTATTAGTCAAATATTGTTCAAGGAATGCAAGGAGCATTCAAGAAAAAAATAATTCTATTAATGTAATTCATCATACTGACAGTTTAAAAGAGAAAAACTTCATGTGGAAACACTTCAATAGATGGCAAAAGGATGTTTGATAAAATTAGAAATTCATTTTCTGAGACTCTTTAATAAAGAGTCTGTATGTCTGTATATGAAGGTCATTCATTACAAATCAACAGCAAACATCACATTTAATAGTGAAACAGGAGAGGCATACTCATTCAAACTGGAAACAAGATATACATATCCTGTCACTATTATTATTCAGCATTGTTCTGGAAATGTTAGCCAAATCAGTAAGAAAGAAGATAAATCAACTCAATACTTGTAGAACTAATATGAAAAGTCAGTAAGATGGCTGGACACAAGTAAGAAATACGAAAAAGCAATTAGCTAATCTATATGTGAGTCATAAGCCATTAAGAAAAACACAATTAAAAAGCCCGTGTCATAGCAGCAACAAAATAATTAAATGTCGAGAAATAAACGTAAAAAATGTGAGGGATCTACATTAAGTGGGAATTTGATAAAGATACCATTTCAAAAATGTTGTGAGAAGGCAAAGTACAGATGTTGTTTAGGGCAGTGAAATTATTCTGTATGATACTGTAACAGTGGATACATGTATTATACATTTGTCAAAATTCATAGAATGTACAACAGAGTGAACCCTAGTGTAAACTACAGTTTAAAATAATGTAACAATATTGGCTCATCAATTGTAACAAGGACACCACACTAATAGTGCAAGATGATAGTAACGGGGAAACTGAGGTGGGGAAAGGGGTAAATGGAAACTGCACTTGCTGCTCAATTTTTCTGTAAACCTAAAACTGCTCTGAAAAATAAAGTATTAATTTTAAAAATGTAGTGAGACAGGTAATGGAAAAAAATGGTATTGAGATAAATGTTACGCTTTTAGGTGAAACATTAGATTTCTGACTCTAAATGGACTCCCTCTTCCTCTGGGTCCTTTTCTCCATCCGTCACTCGCGGAAGAGTGACTACAGGTTGGGCAAGTGTATGGCAGAGGTCACAGAGCCAGGCCTCCTGTTCATTCATAAATCTGCCCCCAAAGTGGAACCTACCTCCTTGGGGACAGGCTTGCCCCTGGTGCTGGAGAGGACTGTTCCCATTCCTCAGCTGCTCTGGGTAAATTTAGTTCAGAGAAGAAACAAGAGGGAGCCCAATTTTATGCTCAGGTCAAAGCCATGTTCTCCAGTCTGTCTTCACCATTAGTTTATGTGTCTCCTTCTCAAATGTTTAAAACCAGCAGTGGAAGAGGGCCCCTCAAATCCATATGCATAGATACGCAAAGCACCCGAGAGGGAGGCAGAAAGTTTGGAGCTGCTTTAGTGCCTTCAGGTATCAGGGGCTTTTGAAGGAACAGTCTTTTGGTTAAGAAAGGTTCACCTCAAAATCGACAAGCATTTTAGGCACGTGTTAGTGGAACGACCTTTCTGCTCTCTCTAGGGACCGCAAAGGCAGCCTGGTTCCATAGCACTGCACAAGGTTCTAGCTTTTCACAGTCCGTGCTGGCATTAGTATATGAGGCATGCAATCAGCCATCCCAAATTCTACTCTTCACTGCATCCCAAGGCGAGGACTGAGGAATGACTAACCTTTGGATTTATGTGGCTTGTCAACAAGGTTCTGCAATCAGCCCCTCCCAGCGTGATTTCAGGTTGGCCCTGGGTATAAATACCTGAGCAGACTGTAGATTCAACTATAGTTGGGTGGTGGGTTTAAATCACTGAAAAGATAAAGGGAAATGGAGCCCTCATTATATGGGGGTAAATCATCTTTTTGGATTGGGATACTAGGAAAAAACCTCACCAAAGCCATAATAAACCCAAAGGCTAGGGGAAAAATTAAAAAGGCCTCTTTAGGAACTGTTTGATCAGAAAAGCAAGAACAGCATTGGACTTAATTAAACACACATATCACCACAAAAAGGCAAGTGGGAAAGTGAAAGAAAAACAAAGGAAGACACCTACATTAATAGAGAAAAAATGGGATTGCCTTCCTTAAGGGAAACATGTGACAAGTTAGGCCAAACAGCTCTGACAGGGAAGGGAGATACACTTTGGTATAACTGCCCTTGAAAGATGGGACTACCAAAGAGTCATTTTTGTTATTCATTCAAGGAAAGTGACATAGATCAAAAAGATATAATGGAGAAAAAGAAGTAAGAATTCAGGAGATTAGGGCCAGCCGAGTGGCTCAGTTGCTTAAGAGCTCGCTCAAGAGTGTGAGCTCTTGAGAACAGCGGTTCAATTCCCGGCCCGAGCTGAGCTGCTGCTGACCTGCCAACAGGTGGCAGGATGGCTCAGCTAAAAAAAAAAACAAGAATTCAGGAGATTAAAATGGTTCTCTCAGAAAGTGACTAGATATAGGAAATTTGTGTAAGATTCCTCTTAAAGCTAAAGGCAAGAAATCAAAAAACATAATTAGAGGACTGTCCTTCAAGACCAGAGCAGTTACAATAGGTGATTACAGTAAGTTCCGACAGATTTGAAAGGTAAGAGGAAAACCAGCAAGCGTATTTCATGACTTTATTAAGTAATTTGCAAGGTCAGATGGGTGGCAAGACAGCAATGGTACAGGCTAGAGTGGAACATATCTGGGACGTTTGTG